TGCAAAGATTCCAGCAGATGGTGTTGTGGTGTGGGGTTCAAGTTATGTCAATGAAAGTATGGTGACTGGTGAATCAGTTCCTGTATCAAAAGAGGTCGATTCACCAGTAATTGGGGGAACTATTAATATGCATGGTGCTCTTCACATGAAAGCTACAAAAGTGGGGTCTGATGCAGTTCTGAGCCAGATTATTAGTTTGGTAGAAACAGCCCAAATGTCTAAAGCTCCTATTCAGAAATTTGCGGATTATGTAAGTTTACTATATAAACATTCTAATAAGTGTTTCATTCATTGGTTTTATTACATCTTCCTTTTGTGATATAGTCACCAACAATGAAACAAATTCACCCTGGCTTGTCCCATTTTCAGGTTGCAAGTATTTTTGTTCCGGTAGTGATTACTTTGGCATTGTTCACCTTAATAGGCTGGTAAGATCTAGTATCTTAGTTTAAATTATTCTCTAACACGTGGGATTAGTTTGTTCTCATTCTAGAATCAAATAATTTTGTAGGTCAATTGGTGGAGCTGTTGGAGCATACCCAGACGAATGGCTGCCGAAAAATGGAACTCACTTTGTTTTCTCACTTATGTTCTCAATATCCGTTGTGGTCATTGCTTGTCCTTGTGCCCTCGGCTTGGCAACACCGACCGCTGTCATGGTGGCAACAGGAGTTGGAGCAACCAATGGTGTATTGATCAAAGGAGGTGATGCATTGGAGAAAGCTCACAAAGTGAAGTATGTAATCTTTGACAAAACAGGCACCTTAACTCAAGGAAAAGCTACTGTGACAACTGCAAAAGTCTTTTCAGAGATGGACCGTGGAGAATTCCTCACACTTGTTGCTTCTGCTGAGGTCAGACTAATCTTCTTTCTTAGCTTCTTAGATTGATATGATATATAAACTGTTACTGAAAGCTTTTCATATTGTCTCTTATTTCCTTAGGCTAGCAGTGAACACCCATTGGCAAAAGCTATAGTTGGGTATGCTCGGCATTTCCATTTCTTTGAAGAACCCACTGAAGATGGTGAATCAAATAACAAAGATTTGCAAAACTCTGGGTGGTTACTTGATACCTCGAATTTCTCTGCTATTCCCGGAAAAGGAATTCAATGCTTAGTCAATGAGAAGATGATTCTGGTTGGGGGTTTATTCCATAACATATAATCAACTTTTAGATTTTGGTCCTGCTTTGACAACTAAAAAGAAGTTTGTTTTATCATCTTTAATCAGGTGGGAAACCGTAAACTTATGTCAGAAAATGCCATAACCATCCCAGACCACGTCGAGAAATTTGTTGAAGATCTTGAAGAAAACGCAAAGACGGGAGTCATTGTAGCCTATAATGGCGAGTTAGTTGGTGTGATGGGAATCGCGGATCCTCTGAAGCGAGAAGCCGCTGTGGTTGTGGAAGGTCTCCTTAGAATGGGTGTTAAACCCATAATGGTCACAGGTGATAACTGGAGAACAGCAAGAGCAGTTGCCAAAGAGGTTAGAATCCCAATTTCACAATCTCTGTGATTAGGTGTTGCCATTTCGTTTTTGCATTCTGTTTGGTTATAGTGGTTCTTTCTAGGACAATTATACACTATCTCTGTTTCCGTTTCGTTTGCTAAAAATACCCACCCTAGATGTGGCAAATGAATCTTGATAAGCAGACTTGTTTTAGTGAATAACGGTTTTTTCTCTGCATGAGTGCAGGTTGGTATCGAAGATGTGAGAGCGGAAGTAATGCCAGCAGGAAAAGCCGAAGTCATCCGTTCATTACAAAAAGACGGAAGCACAGTCGCAATGGTTGGAGATGGAATCAATGACTCTCCAGCTCTAGCCGCTGCAGACGTAGGAATGGCAATTGGCGCAGGAACAGATGTAGCGATAGAAGCAGCAGATTACGTTCTGATGAGAAACAACTTAGAAGACGTAATAACAGCCATCGATCTCTCCCGGAAGACCCTATCACGAATCAGATTAAATTACGTCTTCGCCATGGCGTACAATGTAGTGTCGATACCGGTAGCAGCAGGAGTGTTCTTCCCGGTACTGCGGGTGCAAATGCCGCCTTGGGCAGCAGGAGCATGTATGGCACTCTCTTCGGTTAGTGTTGTTTGCTCTTCTTTGCTTCTTAGAAGATACAAGAAGCCAAGACTTACCACTATTTTGGAATTCACCAAGGAGTAAAAGAAAAAAGAAAAGGTCCTTTTTTTCTCACATTGGAGTGACTTTGACTACTTTTTTTTTTTGTTTTGAAAATAATTTGTATTTACCTTTTTTTCTTCTTTTGTTGTTGTTTGTTGTTGTAGTAGTAGTAATCATGTAACAACGATGTATTGGTCTTTTGAGAGGTTTGGTTTCTTATTTCTGTAATGTAAGAAAACTTCTCCTCTCGGCCTTTATTGTATAAAAATGGTTTCGATGCTTATCCTCGGTTAATGTAAAAAAAAAATAGTTAATTTTCTCTCTAATGTGTTTAATTTTTGTTTTTTTTTCTCTATTACAAAAATAACAAACACTACATCATAATTAACTTAACGAAGTTTCACAATATTACCATTTAAAAAACGTGATGTATATAATTAATTGTTTTTTTTTTGTATTAATTCATAATTCATAACATAATTGGGGTTTTAAAATATTCATTTCTGTTGTATACAAAATCACGGGTGCGCTGTGGAATCAAAGATTTCGTCACATAGACCACCGCCGCTGATTTTAGCTAATAGATGACAGCTAAAGACACACAGTTTTATGTAACAATAAACTAAGAGTATATAATCATCGTTAACTCCTAACAACATTTTAGACTACAAAATAAATAAATAAACATTTTAGACTACAGTCAAATAGAGTTTTTTTTTTTTTTTTTTTTGTATTTGACGAGTTTACTCTAGTACATTATAACTTACGTAGAACATTCTTTGCAATTAAGTTAAGCTTAGTTACTTAATTGTATATTTGTATTGACCGGTAAAAGAACCAAAGACACGTTTTATCCAAACCAACAAAAAAAAAAAAGAGAATAAAGTCAAGGAGAGATCATCATCAATGTTGTCATCACGTGTTGCTTCCTCGAAATTATCTACATCCAAAAAAACTTTGTATTATAAACATCCATAACATACAATATATACGTACTTACAAATTAGATGATGTACGTAGAATTATTTATGAGATAATAGGAAGTTTAGTACATTTATGAAACTTAATTAGAAAAGTGATACATTTACTATTTATAATTAGAAAAACAATCACTTTATACTATTTACCACTATTTGTAAGACTTTACCATCCTCAGAAACAATTAATATTTATAACATTTGCCACTCTTTTTTTTTTTTTTTTACGCTCACATTTTTTTTTCTTTTTCCTTTTTTCTTTTATGTTTTTATTTTATTTTATCCCCCTTCAATCTAAAAGCTATAATACTATTCAATAAAAATAATATTTTTTTAAAAAAAATCAGATATATAAAAACCTATGTTTTTTTCTATTGTTTGATATGCATTTTGCTAGATGATTTTATTTGATGATGTCAAATAATTTTTTTTTCAGATTTTAGATCTGTACAACTTAATAAATGTACAGCTTAATAAATGTACAGATGTATTATTAAATGTACATATGTAATCTGTACAACTTATTATATGTACAAATGTAATTCGTACAACTTATTAAGTGTACATTCAGACAACTTATTAAATGTACAAGTATAGAGTAATACACACAATTTAATCTATATATCTCATTACTGTAGATATATATTAATATACAAATTTTCACCCGTACAGCAAAACTACTGTACATCAGAACTACTGTACAGAAGAACCATTGTACACCATAATCATGTATATTCCAACACCATAATCATGTATATTCCAACC